TCATCCTAAAACTTAGCATAACATTTGGCCTGGAAGTAGCCTTAGGAATAATTAAATCTTAAAAAAGTACAAAAGTTTTTTTTCTTTTTTCTTTTTAGAATGGGGAAACATAGCCTAGAAGTTTATCTCAACTGAAAACTGCAAATGCACGGTTAAACCTTCGTTTTGTTTTCTGCCACCTTTCTTCCAATTGTTTTTTCTCTATTGCTCACTGGAAATTAGTAGAAATGGCAAGCCAAGCAGAGTGTGGTAGCACACACAAGTAATCCCAGTGACTCAGAAGGCTGAGGCAGGAGGATCATAAGTTTAAGGCCAGACTCAGCAATTTAGCAAGGCCCTCATCAACTTAGTGTGAATCCGTCTAAAAATAAAAAATAAGATAAAATAAAAGGGCTGGAGATGTGGCTCAGTGGTTAAGTCCCCCTGGGTTCAATCCCCAGTACCAAAAAAATTTTTAAAAAGCCAGTTCCTTGTCTCCCTAAAATGCAGACAATTGCAAATTAGCCTATACACAACCCTTCTCAGCTAGTAATATTTTATATTTCCTCCAAACGAGTAGAGAAGGTCAGATGAAGTACAGGATGGTGTATTTCAGAAGTTCAGCCTGTAAGAACAGCCAATGAAAAAGGTCTATAGACACAAAACAGCAGCAAGAACTAGAACCATGCCTAGGGGAATAATTTAGAAGACAGAATTTGCTTTGGAGATTTGGGATTGCAGATTTACTTTTGGTAATTCTATCCAATACCCTCAGTAGTTTATGTCTGAATTTTAAAAAATCCTACTGTGTGTCATGTATTTTACTAGGCACTAGTAATACAAACACTTCATGCCTCATCCTATAGACCCCTGCCTAAGTATGCCCCACTCTAGATTCTTATACCTGATCTTGGAAATTTCAAGTTTCAAAATTCATCTACAAGTTTATATTCCTCCACTACTGCCAAGTTTATAAGATAGGGAAAATTTCCATCCCTGGCACCCTGTCCCATTTATCTGTAGCATAACATTTCACACTACATCATAATACCTATGTAATCTACCAAACTGTTTCCCTCTCTTCTTTGAGGCAGAAAATTGGTTTTTTAACTCTGAATTTTCAACACCTAGCATTGTACATATTGGTTCTTAATACAGGCTTATTGAGTGGATAAATTAATGCATGAATGAATGGCTGAATGAATGAATAACAATATGGTCCCTGATATGAAGGAGCTGTAACCCAGGAGGCAACAAAATAATTGGGTAATTCTGATGCAATGTGTAATAGAGATAAAATCCAAACAGTGTGATGGAACATAGGAGCAGAGATTAATTTCTTTTCATGTATGCCTTTTTCTCTTGATGTCTCATCTATTGTTTGTGCACTGAGGGAGTGTTTGAAATTCACATTGAATGATCATGAATAAAAGCTTGACAACTTTTGTAGAAAGTATTACCATACAAATCTATTAAGGGAACAAAATAAATAAGAACATTTGATAAGAAAACATTCCTGATTGACTAAAGCAAATATGTTGAGAATTTCTGGGGGAGAATCTCCCTAAATTTTGTTTCACTAACAAGTTATTTTTAGTGATAGAGGTTTAAGTAATGTTATATGGAGTGAATATGGAAATTCCAAAGACAGTTATAAATAGAAAATTTCAAAAACACTAAAAGAGAAAGAAGCATAAGATAGTTCTGTTTTCAATACTTAAATAAAATTTCTAGATGTTATGCCTGCAGAAAAACTTTCTCAATACTTGATCTTTACCTCCTTTCTTGTGACATGTGGAAAATTGAAAGGCTTGTGATTAAGAGCTAAGAGGGCTCTAAAAATTATAGAGAATGTTCCTAACTTTTTTTTCAGTTTCTTATTTTACTTTTATCTAGACCCTCACCATTTTTTTTACTAAGACCAGAACCATATAATTATCCTACTTGCCTCTAGAATTTTCTTCCATTAACTGAATTTTCGTATTGTAACAAAAAATGATCCTTCATAAACACAATGCAATTCTAATCTTCCAACACCCTTTAAAAGCCTTTGCTTGTATTATCCATCTCCAATTTGAGGTACTGGGAGAGTAGGAGGGGTGTACTCCAGAACTTGGGAGAAGTGTGGGCAATTTCAGGAAGACTATGGAGCCTTTCAATGGGCCTTCAATCTACTTAGTGGTGAGTAGTGTTAGTCTGTTTGGGCTGCTATAATAAAATACCATCAACAGAGTAGCTAACAAACAACATGAATTTATTTTTCCCAGTTCTGAGGCGGTGGAGTCCAAGATCAAGTCACTGGTAGATTTGGCACCTGGTGAGGGTTTGATATATTGTGTGTAGATGACCTTTTCATTGTGCCTTACATGGCAGTAGGGGCCCAGGCAATTCTTTTGCAAAGGTACTAACCCCAATTATGAGGTTCCACCTTCATGACCTAAAGCCTCCCAATGATCCCATCTCAGAATACTGTCACACCTAGGATTAGGTTTCAACATATGAATTTGGGGGAGGGGGAACACAATAATTTAGTCTATTGTAATAGTTTAAATTTTTAGAAGATATTTAAACAAATATTATAATATTACAGAGCTAAATATATAAACTATAGGGATTTTGAAATATGAAGCGCGAGACCTAAAAATAACATCAAGCTTCTGATGAAGGATGTTGCATTTTACCAAGGTACTTATGTAAGAATATAGTAAAGAATCATCTAGAATGGAAAGTTCCCATTCTCTCCTTTCACTGGCCCAGGAAGGTGTTTCTATAACTTTGTTCTTGTTATTTTTTTCTCTAGGAAATCCCTTCCTTTGGTCAACTTCTTCCTTCCTCCCTCCTTCCTTCCCTTCCTCCCTTCCTTCTGTAAAATTTGATGAACTCCACTTTGCCAGGTATCCTATGGGCCCCTGAGGATGCAGAGATAAAGGTTACTCTTCAGAGATGATAAGGAGAGTAAGAAGATTCATACAGTAATAAAATAATAGTGATGAACGTTGCTTGTTATGTACTTAGCACCATGATGAAACATTCCACATGGTATTCTATTTAAGTCCTATATCAACCATGAGAAATAAGTTTTGTCAGTCCTTCAGATTGCCTCAGTGTTACTCTTGTCCCCATGGTACACAAAAGTGACTAAGCCAGAATTATAATACATGCTTGTTTGATTCTGATTTATGCTCTCAAACATCACTTACTAGCCAGTTTGATAAATAACTTTCTTGATCCAGCATAAATATCCAAGCCTACTTTGTTTTCTCCTCTGAAAAGTCTCTCCTTAAAGCACAGTTACTTCCTCCCAAACCTGTGATCCTATACTCTTTATTACCATGCATGTCATTGTGGCTATCTCTATACCTGTTTCCTGTTACACCAGGATGAGAAAGCCCCTAAGAAGGTGCCTTCTCTGATCCACATGAACATTGCTCTCCTGGCACAGTGGATCTGCTGGGTGTGGCAAAACAGGGGCCTGTGGTGGAGCAACTCATGAGAGCATTGCTGACATCACGGTTGGTGTTTTGTTTGTTCTATAAAGAATACAAATGCATTTTTAAAATTAATATAACAACTTCTGCAAATGAAAAGTGTATTTTAATTTCTAGATTTCCAGCGTCTTCTTTAAATTGGAAGATTTGGAAACATTCATTGGTCAAATATTGCTGCCTGGCCACAGTGGGCTGGAGATGAGTGGTAGCTCCTTTGCTTTAGAGAGCCCTGTACTCAGGAGTTCTCACCATACCGAGCACTATCTGTGCTACTCTGTCAACTTTACTCATTAAGGCCACTTGCAGAGTCCTGACCCTAATATTTCCAATCATTTTTCTATCTCTTATCAAGTCTGTAAAATATTTTTAAGAGAAAAACTATCATGAGTAAGATTCAAAGTTATAGAAATGGTGTAAATACAATTTGCACAATGGTAGTCTTTTTATTCAAAACTACTGTAACTATTTTACCTATAAGTTAAGAAAAGTGAAATTATAAGAGTAGAGCACCTCATTACTACACAAACATGGAAATATGTACTAGGGACGTTCTCACAAATGGTGCATGTGATTTCTCATTTCAAATAAATATAGATTGCTCACATCTGTTCATAACTGCTTCATTGCCTTTCATAGCTACTTCAGCTCACACATAAGGTTAGGTGCAGATAGCACTATAACATATGTAGTGATTAAAATAACAGAAACAATTTATTAGTTCAAACTCCTCAATACCTGGGATGGAGATTGGGGTAAAGATTACCTATATATTGTGGACAGTTTATACAAAGACTTACTAAACAAATACAATAAGTAACTTGTTTGTATAAAAATTGCTTACTTGACAAATTTTAGAGTCATGAATTCCTAACAATGTAAGTGCATTGTAAGCAAAAGCTAGGCGCTGCTTAGGTTGGTATTTTGATATAGTAAGTACAAATCATATTTATATCTATTCTATGAAGTAAGACCTCATCTAGATATTACATTGTACTCTAGCTCAAGTGGCAATATTTATTAGAAAACAGTAAAACATTGTTCCTGTACAAAAGTATTGTTTCACTCTGACTTTTCATCATCTCAGACAGCTATTTCCCTAGTCAAGTGACTTACAGTTGACTTTATCTGGTATAGTTGATCTAAAACAGAGGCCATATCTAAGAGTGAATCCCAATTAGTCCTCTAAAGCGTCAAGAGACACATCCATTGTATTTTTAAAAATGCTTTAATAACATGAGACTTGGCAGCAAAACAATAAATGTCTAAACATGATGAATAGCAGGCTAACAACCTCTACAACACAGAAACAATACCAGTTACCCAGTTCTGCTTGATCTAGTAATACATAAAAATCACGGTATACAGCTTCATTTATCTGTTACATTATAGGGTCACCAACATCTCAAGACAAATAGGAGTATATATAAATGTCTTACCTTTGTTGATAGTCATTCAAAAGAAAAAGAATATGTTTTATGGTGCCGAAAATAATCTCAAAAAATAGTTGAAATTGATAGTAAAATCATGTCCTACCTGGGTAACTTTCTCTGTCACATTGTGTGTTCGATCTTTAACCTTGGGTGCAATAATAGTTTTATCTGAAGAAGGAGGGGATGTATTCTTTTTTTCAGTTTTGACATCTGAAAAATTCAGAGTGAGCTGTGGAATCTTGTTAATGGTGCTGTATTTGTTGAGGTTTGAATCCGACGTGGATCCCAGGAGGCTTGACTTGATATGATTAAAAGGCCCTAAAAAATTGGAAAGCATTTTAAAAAAAAATAATATTAGAAGGAAGAGAAAAAAAAAGAAATGGTCCTAAATGCCCTGGTGATGACCCATGACCAAAGTGACCCTGATTCAATTGTGACTAAGTACAGTCAGTTGATACCTGAAGACAGGGCTTAGGGTCACCTTCTGTACAGGGGGCAACATGTGAATGAGGGAAGCTAAGACAGGGTCCTAGATGTGCATCCAGACAGCAAAAGGCAGCTTGAGCTGTTAACTGGATTCTTTCATTAAGGGCTGTAATAAGAGCAAAAACTCTACTCCCTGTGACTGGCCAAATTATACCTTCAATGTTTCTAATAAATTTTGTTTTATAGTCTGGGGATTGATTACTCAAGCATGAGTGTGCCTATGGTTAAAATCATGTTAGCCTTGAAATTTATTAATGAGTTTTTTATCCTACACCAATTTGGGTTACTCCATTCTCTGTATCACTGAGAAGGGACAAGCCAACTTGGTTTTGCATATGCTTCTTCTACTTTTTGAAATGATCGACAAAGTCTAGAAGAGTTAAACCCAGATGACGCTGAGAAGAAGTTCCCTTTGTGTGTGTGTGTGTGTGTGTGTGTGTGTGAGAGAGAGAGAGAGAGAGAGAGAGAGAGAGAGAGAGAGAGAGAATATGAGATCTGTGTATGTGAGTGTGTGTACTCGATTGAAAACCCCAGATTCCTGGGTGGGACTATTAGATCTTTCTTTTCTTGTCATTTTTTCTTTCATTTAGACTTAAGACTGAATGCTTTCTAAGAAAAAAAGAAAAGCAACTATAAAAACCATACAGGAAGAGTGCTCTGCCAAATATAATTTACAATAGAAGTGACAATAGCTATGTAACAGAATATATGTGGGTAGTTCCTGGTTACTTCTCATATTCTTGACAATGTGCCAAGATTCCTGGTTCCCTTATTGAAGATGACTAGATTGACCAGCTACATCTTTTGAGATGAATCTATTGTCTGTTGCGTATGAAGAATCAGGAAATGCTCCAAAGAGTTTCTTGTGTGATGGGTATTACTAATACCATTATCTAGCTCTTAAAATTTTTATCAGGAAGAATTTTTTAAAAATCCTGAGACCATTAGTGTTAGACAGTATCTTTCTGCATCAGAGAGTGGTTAAAACATACAAATGGCATGGATGAGTTTCCTAGTGGATGTGTTTTGCTTTATGTTATCATTTCTCCTGTTCAGAATTAAATATACACATTGCAGTAATTAAAACACACTTTAAACATCAACAAAGAAACACTTTAAAATCAGATATATCGACTTTATATTTTTGATTCCAATAATCAATCAACTCATGTCAAATATAATGTTAAGAATACCAATTAGTATATTCATGTTACTGTGGGGAAAAAACACTATATTTCTTTATAAAAGTTTATGGTTATTTATTATTATGAAAGTTTGAGGTAAATTTTTAAAATGTTCCAGTATTTAACAAATATTGTATTTCTTGAGCTGCAGTGCGATTCACTTTCTCTGTTTCCCATGAAATTATTCAAGTCCATTAGTTAAAAAGTGTCATTGAGCTCTTTGGGTATTTATTGCCTCAATTTTGCTGATTTGTATGCAGATACTTTTGCTCCTATTTATAGCATAGGATAGCAATGTATCACAAAGTGGCACCAAATTGGTTCATTTTTAGATAGGTCTCTCCAGGTCCTTGTAGAAGTCTCTACCTCACCCACTCATATTTTACTGTAATATATTCCAGATAGTGTTTTCCTGTTGGGAGGATTTTATTTCTACGTTTTAGACACATATCTTAACATTTAAAATGTGAAAAATAAACCAGATCTTCAAACTTCTTAAACATGTCCCTTTTCTTAACTCTAATGCTATATTTTCCCTCCTAATAAAGTAACTTCACTATGCACAGGGATACAGACAAGGGACTAGAGATGGTGAGCTCAGGGATATAGCTAAATTTTGTTAAAATCCTTTAAATCCATCTTTCAATTCTTTTTCTACCCAGTTCTTATTTATGTTGTATATCTGTAGCAAATTGTCTTCAGAGCTCTTCTGGGTAAAGCAGAGACCATCTATAATGATAATAAATGGAAAGACACCATTGGTGTACTTTGGTTGTCCTGTGATCAGTTGTAATAAACTCTAAATTGATTACACTCATAACCAAATGGTTTCGACTATAGTAGTACTTCACCCAAGGGGGCATTTGTTAGGGCATTTTTTGATTGTCACAATGATGGAAGAATTTAAATATCACAATTCTCTCACCTTGAAAAAAATTGCCTTGCAGGTTTAAGGACATCTGTGTTGATTAAAATCTGTTTATAATGAACTGAGCCTTGAACCAGTTTAATCAAAATAGAACAATTTACTTTTTACATGGCCTTTCTAAACATTAAAATTTTCAGAGCTACAACTAACGGGAAGAGAAAATATTATACATCATTTTGTTAATAACTTTATTAAAAGTTGTTGGCTATTTTGGAAAGTTATTTTAGTGATGCATTGCATGTGCCATTTGGGTGATGAAAATTTCTGAGTTCAGGTTACAGTCTGTGTTTGTACTTGATACATAAAAACATGTAAACTAAGAGATTTGAGTCTCCTTTTGTCAGTGTTGGGTTCAAGTATTATATTTGCAGATAATTATAGAAATAATACTAAAACCATAAACAAAATTTCTTTCAAAATATTCTTCATTATTATTTTTCTCTGTACATGTGAAATGATGTGTGATTTTTTTTTTTTTTGGCTAATAAGACTTTTTATTTTGCTATCGAACCATTTTCCTGCTCTATCATTTTATCCAGCAATTAAGTGGAATGTTTTTTTTTCACATACTTAGTGTTTTTAAAAGCATTTTAATGTCTATGATTATTGTACTATTATCTCTAGCATGGTTATATTTGAACCCTAGCATATTGAAATAGATATCATTTGATTATAAACTGCCTTTCTCTTATTTCTCCTTTATATTACAGTTATGGAAACATGTTGATCTTTCAGAAATGGTTCAATTTTCTCTGAATTTCATTTTAGGACAGTAAAATAAACAAAACATTTGAGGATAACAAAACATTTGGTGGATCAATGAGACATCAGTTCTGGTACAGTTGAGAAACTCTGATATAAGGTCGTACTCAGAATTTATAACTCTATTGCAATCACTATTTTAGCTTATTAACTGGTTGAAAATGTTCTAAACAGTTATTCTGTTTTTCTTTAAACTCTTAGACTTAATCTAAATTTTCTTTTAAATTGATAAATGTAAGAAATTCAGCCTATACTTTGAATAAAATATGCATGCTACTTAGATAAGACATTTGCAATTTATTTCATCCTAAATAACAAAAAATCATTTTGTTTCATTCTATGTCTTTGAATCAGATGCTTAAATGTAGAAGTATTTTAGAGTCTGCAAGATGAATAGCATTGGCTTCCATTCTTGTAAACTCTAAAATCCAACAACAACAACAACAAAAAACATTTCCAACACTTAAGGTAGGAATTAACAATATCTTTATTTCACCAGTCCTACATCTAAGCTGATAGAATAATAGTCCAAAAGGGCATGAGAATCAAGGACTAGAAATCAGAATACAAAGTTTCCTACCTCCTAGGTCTACATTCAGAGAGGCCATGGTGAGGATTTAAAGCTGAAAAGCAGCCTCACTGAGTGAACAGATGGGATTTAGGATGCTAATGAAAGAAAGAAGAATAGCCTGAAAAACAAAGTCAATGAATTAAAGAAAACAAATGGCCAGAATTAGAAGGAAATCATAGATTTAATATAAAGGAATATGAAATTCAGAAGTGTACAGGAGAAGTTCATGTTCTGTATGGACCATCTGCAAGATGCATGGCCAGATCTACCTTTTCAGTATATTAGGATAAAGTGGAAAATCATGACCAAGTAGTGGGTCAAGTTTTAATAAGTTACAAATGTTTGATTAAAAATAAGTAGGACAGTGTTCAGCAGCAAAGAAATACCTATACCCTAAGACCAAGCTAGGGGCTAAAGCAATAGCTGAGAGATTTTTAGATTGAAAATATATCAAATTTACCTGATGAGGCTATTTAAATTTATCATGAATTATGAAATACTGAAGGAGAATATATTATTTTTAGATAATACTAGAAAAATAAGTAAGAATATAGTTTTATAGACATATTTTAGATATAAATTACATATCTGACATATACTATATATAATGTTATTTAAAATTTTATATATATGTATAAAATATTGTCCTTGAGGGTCAAATAGAACAAGAGAGAAGAAAAATAAAAAGATTAAAATTATTTTAAAATTTATTTTTGAAAAGGGATCTTGCTATGTTGCCTAGTCTTATATTCCTAAGTGTAGCTGAAACTTTAGGTATGCATCACCATGCCCAGCTTAAACTTGTTTTTAAATCAACAAGTCTTTGTACAATATTTCTCAGGACATTGAGTTTATTTTGCTAAAGATTAACAAAACTCAGAATTCGAAGTGTCTTAACATTAAAGAAAGTGCAAACACAGAGTTTCATAATAAAGCATTATAGAAGAACATTGCTGATAGGCATAAGGCAACAAGTTTAAAACTTAGATAAATAAGAAATAATCATTGGATATTTAAAATTTCTGTTCAATTGCCCGACATAATTTACAAAAGAAAACTGTCATCACCAAAAATCAGTTATCAAATCCTTAGAAGGTCCCAAGATTCTGGGTAATGGCAAATGTAGCTTCTGAGAAACAAGTTGCATTCTATCAATTTCTTTCTTTTATGAGTCTGATGGGTTTCATGGCTAGAATGGAGATAAAAGCAACAACAAATCTTGGGAGTAGATTTGTTTCTGTCTTGACAGACTCATAGACAAGTTCGAAACTGAAAATACTAATGTTAGAAAAATGCAGGGTTACTTGAGCTAATAAGGAGGTAGAAGAAATGGGTAAAATTTTATCAGTGACATTGTTTAAGTTCAGTAAGTGGAATAACTTTTTTCATAGATGATTTGGAAAACAGAACAGATATAGAAACCACTCAGTTTGAAGTGAAATAAGTTTATGAGTGATTGAGGTAAAATTTGACACCCTTCACATATTAGAAAAATAGTTAAAAATACGATGTGTATATACATACATGGGTTATACAATTTATTTGAAATAGCTTTTCTACTTTGTGATAATGATTATACTATCTAAAAAGAACTCTGGAGTGTATTTTTAAGAAGTCAGAGTGCTAAGGGAATTTATTAAAGGAAACAGGTCCTAAGAAAGAAGGTTAAATGGAAATTATTTAGTTTTAGAAGAAAAGAGTGAAAACCAATTTTCTATCTTTATAGTGTGGTATTATTTTGACTACTAGTAGTTAGAGAATATCTCTGTTCACTGGGGATAGATTAAGGGAAAGAAAGTACACTTGAAGGAAGGAGAATTTAGTCTATCTCTTTGTGCAGTAGTAACTAAAGCAGACTTCTCCAGAAAGTTAAAGAATGGCTTCCTCTGGAGATAAAGACACCCATACCACTTGTGCAGAGTAATTTATTCATCTAAAGGGAATAAACCAAAAAAACTTAAAGATCTTCCAAATGCATTTCTAAATTATTTATTTTATCTTGTAAAGAAACAATTTTTGATTGAATTAGGTATTAAAATCATTAATTGTCACTGTGCATTTTGTATACAAAACAGTATAGAACTGTGTGTCTTTTATTTTTTAATATTTTATTTAAATCCAGCTTAGAAGTAAAGCCATTTTTTTAAAAAAATGTACTTAGTATATTATCATGTATGTAATTAATATATTAATTGTTCTTGAAAACCTTAAAAGACAAACATACCTAAACTTTATTTAATAGTTTTCTAAATGAGTAGCATGAATAAAACAATGAAAACTATGAAGTGTATATTGACATTAAACCTTTATTAAACTTTCTTCAATTACAGTGTTTAAATTTAAAAATATGAGCATGTTAAAGCTTTTCTACAAAGTTTTACTGATTCTTAATCCCAGATTGACTTTGGCCATTCTACTACATGCTTTATGTTGTACAATTGCTGTGTCATCTGAAATCTATGTTAAAAAATAAAAAGAACATATTTATTTAGATGATTGTTTATAAAAGAGAGAAATGTTTGAGGATAAATGGTTGATTAAATGGGTAGGGCGTGTAGCTCCCTGGGCAAGTGGCAGAGCACTTGCCCAGTATGGCAAGGCTTTCGATTCCATCCCCCACACGGCAAAAAATTTTTGAAAAATTAAAAAATAAAAAGAGTTGATCAAATGTATTAGTAAATGAAACTAAAATAAGGTGATTACAGTTTGACAATTAGGTTAAACATCAGTTTGAAAGATATGCTACCCTAATTTTCTATAATAGGTTCAATTCCCACTATATTTTTAAATATCACTAGAAAATTACGGTTACTAATTTATTCCTAATCCTTAAATATTAAATCATACTTCACATGAACAAGTTGATAAGAGCTGTCTATATCCTGTTACATTCTGAATGATGTCAACCAAACCTACCACCTACAGTTGACACTAATTGGCTCCCTTTTAGAAATCCCAGTGGACAGGCCAAGGACAGAATAATCATGTAGATGAAATCCCATCTCACTATTGGAGTTCATCTGCATAGACACTTGTTGAAATGCTTATAAAGTTTGAAAGTAGGGGGAAAGTTTATCATAATTTTCCTTACTTTTAAATTGTCCTGATCTGCTAACCAGAAAACATCTTTGATCTCTAGTGCTATTAACTCATAATCATCACCAACTCTGAATTTATTAGCAAAACAATTGAGAAATCAATATGCAAAACTGCACAGTGGTCAGAGTATCAGTGACATACAGAAGAAGCCAAAACAGGGAATTCCAGGTTATGAGGGTTACTGGTGGAGACGTTTTCATGCAACACACATGCACAAAATGAGTCACTGTCACCATTTGCACACCCACAGCAGCATGCATGGCCTAGGTAAAAAGACTAAGCCAAAAGAGTTTTCAATTTGATGAGAATATCATGATTATCATGTTTTTTTGGTTCTTGTATCTATTGCAACATTGGAGAAAACAGAAGAGAATTTCAAATTTTTAGCCAAATTCAAAATTATCCAGAGTGTTGCCCAATTAGACATAACTGAATCGTGGCTGTAGGTCATGCTAGTGATTTCAGACTAATATAGTACACAATTAAAATGATTAAAATATAATGTAGAAAAATTGAAAATGATTTTCATGCATGTACAGTATACTACTACAGGAAGCTTAAAACCATACCCCCTGCCATCCAGGAACGTGAAACTAGTTTTAAGGAAACAAAAGAGGAACAAGTAAAGTGATGCTGTCATATAGCACTTTGTTCATTTTATTTAATCTTGTACTAATTTTATTCCCTGAAATAGGCTTATGTGCTTCTTTTATACTAGAATATATTTAGCTTGGTATTTGTTTATTTCCGAATGATTTAAATATTTATGAAATGTTCATTGTCAACCTAGGGTTACACTTTTTGCAGAAAAAAAGGCATTCATAATCACTTTGATGACACAGCTGAGAAAGTAACAATGTCTCCAGCAAATCAAGCCATGATGTCTCCACCAGGCACCTGGGCTAGCTAAGGGCAGCATGAAGATGTGGCACTGAACAGGGCATACAGCAGGCAAGTTGACATGCCGAATAAAAGGGCCATTTAAGCATCAGATGGTGAGACTTGGGTGCGTACGTTACCTTTGACATTGCGACCATTGTCTGTTTTAAGCATATAAGGACACAAAAAAGAGAGAGATATAAAAAAACGACTAAAATTATGTTATACACACTGGATAACCTTTGTAAAAACTGTCAGTGAAAACAGGAGGTAAAGATTGAAAATGTAGCATTAATTGAAATTAACATTGCCTACTATCCAACCATATACCAAAACTATTTGCCATAACAGACAGTCTGCTGAAATACATGAAATATTTATCTGAATTTAAATGGATTCCAAGGTACGTATTTTATAATTATGACAGTTTGGGGACAATACCCACAGCTACCTGAAGTTGTGATAACTGTCAATGTTGTCAAAAGCCAATTTGGTTATTTCTTTGACCATTACTTACAATATATTCAGAGAAAGATTACACAATATTGTGCACGTTAACTAATTTTTTTCTATACTTAACCCAGTATGTTGATAAGAAAAAATGTTTCTAATACAACAGTTTATTTTAATAAATTATTAACTACCTACTCCCCAATGTTCTTTAATGTTTGTTTTAAAATAGCAAAAAACAATTAAAGAGTCATTCTTATGTAAAACTAATGGGGAAAAATTCAGTAAAAGATTTGTCTGGATAAAGGGGATGTTTTTTATCTGTATTGTCACACTGCAGTGTGGTATCTAGAATATTTAGAAAATTTGTGTAAAGTGGGCTGAGTTAAAGTCTTAGGAGCATTTTTAGATGTATTTTCAAATTGGAAAGTTAAATGTTACATATTGTCTGTTTACAAAGCATGTATCAAGAGTTTTCAAACACTAAAGTTAAAAAACAATGAAGTATTTTCAAACCATTCAAATATATCCAAGATTTTAAACATCTGTTTAACATTTGGTTGACATCGATAGTATCACTGTGCACATATAAAAACTTTACTTTTTTCATTTTTATTTTTGGTACTGGATAGAACTCAGGGTCCTTTATAGCCAAGCTATATCCTCAGACCTTTTAATTTTAAAATTTTAAGATGGGGTATCACTAAAGTTGCTGAAATTGATCTTAAATTTGTGATCCTCCTCCCTCAGCCTCCAGAGTTGCTGGGATTACAGATGTGGGTCATCTTACCTGGCCAACTGTGCACATTTAAAATCTTGAGATATATAACACTTGTGTCAAATCTTACATTTAAAGTAATTCCCATAGTGTGGCATACTGAATTGCTGGAGTAGATATTGCCTTTTACAGAGATATACAAATAGAATGTTGCCATTGAGGACGACTCTCTTCCTTCTTTGAGGGAGTTATGAAAAGTGAATAGGGAGGTTGTAAGAAATATTGATTACACAGAAATAATTTCTCCATGAGAAGATGGGTGATAAAAAATGAGTAAATAACAACTGCCTTCATGTAATTAAAATTTATGTTTGTACTCACCAAACCTAGAAACTACAAATAAAAATTTCAAATTTTAAGAAAGCAAATAAAATTTAGATTATATTGTTAATGCAGCTTTGGCATTCCAAAACAAAGTGAGATGTTTCTGGACTTTCACTGAGATCCGCTTGCTATTTCTTCATGGTAATGTAAGTGCAGAAATTAGAGTAGTTAGAGCCTTTTCTAACAGTTCAACAGACTAATTTCATGTATGTTGAATATAATTATAAACAAACTGAAACTTATGTTTTGTATGTGTATTTTTACAATTTTGTTTTTCTGGTAGTACATTTTTATTAAATTTATAAATGGATTACTCTCTGATTTATTAGAAAAACATATTCTGGTCCTTCACCATGGATGGTTTGAGAGACACAGTTCGAAGGTATTGGATAAACAAGAGGACTATGGAAAATATTATGCACTGTTATATTTACAAAGTATTTAAAGTTCCATAAAAATAGCCTATAGAAGGTGGGATTTTTCTGTCTGAATGAGACAATAACTGCATTCAAAGTCTGGTTTATGTTGGATTTATTCTGCTAACCAATTTGATGGATTCATAAACTAAAATCAGTTTTAAAGATTTTCCACCTACCCTTTTCAATGTCTCAGATTCGAAAATATAAAAAGATGTAGATGTAGGAAATGTAATTTCTTCTATGCCCACCAGTGATTTTGTAGCTAAAATTGCTCTAAAGCTGAAGTACAAAATACCCTCTAAATTTATCGATCTATAGTCACACGTTGAGTATAGCATCTGGAAGAAAGTGATACATTTTCTGAAAATAGCCTAACTTGGATGGGGGAGGAAAATTGAGAATGATCATAATATTAAGTGTCCATTCATAGTACCTGTACTGAGCAAAGCAAAAATATTATGTCATCCTTTCCTGTAATTGTGCCAGCAACTGTGTTCTAAAAAGAGACCACATAAACTGAAAACAATAAAATTAAGTTATGAAATACCACCTAAGCTATAGAGAGCCACTGTCAAAGTCTGTAGGATGATTATGTAATGTATCAGTTTAATTTTCAAATTTATTGTTTTTTTTTTTTTTTAATGGTTCATCCTAAAATTTGGGTACTTTCCTGAGAATTTCTGGATGGTCAGTCTCTGAAAATGTATGATTGCTAAAAATGATCAAACTAGCTGGAATAATTAAAAGATTTATTGGTGGTGTGAATTATCATATGGAACTCATGGTTGTTATTCAGTCCTAACTCTTGTTCAAGGATCAAATTATAGAGGTTTTGTTCTGTTAGGAAATGTTGAGCCCAACATCACCAGAAGGTGTAGTTCCTTACATGATTACCCAGGTTGGGAGCTGTCTTTGATTTTATTTTCCTTTTGACCTTCTTTGTACAAGAGATTAAAAAGGGTGTACTAATTGCTCTTTTGAAGTATGTATTTTTTCAAATCTGTCTTATAGCAAACTGCTATTTCTGTTTCTGAGATATTGATTTATCTCTTTGAATTCTTTCCTGACAACTCATTTTCTTTCAACTTTTCTGCCTTTTGTACTTCACTGTGCCCTTTAGATAAAGATCCACCACATGATTCAATCCTAAAACTCTGGTTTAAATTTAGAGTTTTGGCAAGCAAATAATGCATTATTTCCTGATGGGTGAGATTTTCAAACATAATTCATGAGCATGGTCCTCTCAATATCAAACACACACTTATTGAACACCTGTTAAGAAGTAGACCATTATGTGGATACTAGGACTGCAGAGCTAAATACCCTAAGCACCTGTGCGTGGGCAGCTCATAGCGACACAATTATTTCTTTGAATGCCTACCAACAATGACAGGTATATAATACATAATAAATAAAGAATGCAATAAATGTTATAATATATGTAAATATTGCTCTGAACACTCAGCTGTTAAGTCATTAAATGTTTCTGGTTTGGGAAGGGGAAGTGGATGCTGGCAGCTGAGCAGGAGTGTGAGGGGTACAGAGGGTAATAACATTTCAGGCAGAGGAAAGTAAGGGGGAAAAATTTGTTATGTGTTTTGGGAACTGGCAAATGATCTTGGCATTGGCTTAGAATAGATTAGACAGTAGGTGAGGCAGTTTGCTGAGGATAAAACCGAGGCTTGAACAGGTAACTGTGACCATTTTGTGAAGTGCCTAGTCCTGCGTTCTAAGGAGCCTCAGGATCAGAATTTCAGCTTCACTGAGACAAAGGGCAAACAGCATGGTGATGAGGGCAATGAAGGAATGAGAATCAGAGGAAGGGCATTAGCCTCTCCAGAAAAACAGCTCTGAGAGTCAGAAAAGTGGGACTGAAGCATTCAGGACTCTCAGACTCCTGTGGAGAGTTCAGTAACTCCCTCAGGGAGCAGAAGAGAGGGAGGGAAAACACTGCATAGATTTGACTGTGGACTCTTGAGACAGGCGATCCTGGGTTTGAAGCCAGGCTCTGACACTGACTAACTCTGTAATCTTGGGCTAGCTATCTATTAAGACATCCAAGCCTAGTTTTCTCATCTATATAATGGGGCTTAAAACTAGTTCTTAATTTATAAGGTTAGAATTAAATGAGAGTCAATGTTTGCTTGCACTTATATTGTCTCAGGCATAGAAAGCACTCAAAACACAATGTGACCCATGATCATGCTAACCATGGCTTGTTTCTGTGGTTGCTTTTCAAGCAGCCTTATTTTCACCTGTGGGTCATATAAGAATGTGAACACAGAGAGGCCAGGGAGGAATTCATCAATTCTGATTTTGCTTTTCAAGTTCATTGGTGGGTGGGTTTTGTCCCCTACCTTTTCTCCTGTCTCCTACTTGTACTTCATCTCTGTCAATATTTTACATTTTCATAGCCCTCCCTTTGGAAAGAGTAAGCCAGTAACACGGCACACTTCTCTTCCTTCCCAGGGCATGACCATTTGCTACATGTGGGAAAATTAATTATGCTTGAGCTTATAGTGTTCATCATCTAAGTACGCTTTATATTAAACATTAATTAATTAACACTCCATGAAGTAGGCAGATAATGGTTATCATACTATTTTAGAAACATTGATGAAGAAGTCAGAAGAAACCAAATTATTCACTAGAGTTCAAAAAAGACATGAAAAACAATGCTGAATATTAGACCCACATGTTTAGTAGCCTTTAATCACATTTTTTTCTTCCAAGGCAGAGGTTTAATGTTGAAATAAAAATTAATTAGGAAATAATCTTTCTTTACTCATTAATGTAATTCCATGTGTAAAAAAATTTGACATACCTTCACTGGCATGTCGGTCTCTAAATATGTTCTTGGGGTGGACACTGAATCCTTCTATGTCATGTACTGAAGATGCCCTCCGTATGCTACAGAGGCTTTCTCTTGATCTGGAGTGGGTCAGTTGGGAACTTGACTGCAGCATGTCAGGGTAGAGTCTGTCCCATTGCCTTTTGGGAGAGGAATGGTCAAGAGGTCCAGATATATTCACCAAGGGAGAGCATTTGCTGGGCTGTATCAAAGCTTTTGTATCATCTGCTTCAGAGGGGCTGCAGCTTTCTTTTGTAGGAGACTTAAAGTGCTTCATGGCTACTGAATCATCACTGTGTTTAGATGAGTCAATCACTACCACATCAGGATCTTCTTGTGGTAAGGATTGCTTTCTGTAAGTGAGAACTCTCAGGGCAGGGAACTTGAACCCAAAAAGTTTCCCTACAAAGGGAGACAGGAAAGAGCATTGTTGTAAGAAAATGAATATAGCTTTAAACAAAAACAAACATTGTCAATTCATATTTAAACACTAAGTAAAAAAAAATTAATCAATATTTCATTAGGGTCAGCTACAGTTGGAATAAGGGATATTATGAGAAAACTTCTCTGAAAACAATATGAATTATCTTACAAGTAGTAAGAAAACAGAAAAATGTGTTCATTATGTTTCTTAGATAAAATAAACTCCAGTGTTAGGAAAGTATTATTTAGATGACAGGAGACTTTTTCAGCTTTAATAAATTAAAAATATGTTGTTATGGTTTAGATATAAAGTACTCCCAAAAGCTCATGTGTGAGACAATGCAAGAAGGTTTAATGTGAAATGATTTGGTTATGACAGCCTTAACCCAATCAGTGAATTAATCCAGTGTTAGGGATTAGCTGGGTGGGAACTGTAGGCAGTTAGGGTGTATATGGAAGAGTTAACCCTGGGGCTGGCGGGGGACAGGGGTTGTCTGCCTTTTGTGTTTATATTTTGTCTCTGGTAAGCAGAGCTCTATCTCTGCTTTTTGGTGCCATGGTACCAGCTGCTTTCCTCTACCATACACTTCTGCCATGATATTGTGCCTTATCTCAGGCCCACAGGGATGGAGTCAGCCATCTATGGACTGAGACCTCTGAAACCGTGAGCCACCAAATAAACTTTTCCTCCTCTAAAATTGTTCTTGACAGGTCTTTTGGTCATAGCGATGAAAAAGTTTACTAACACATTTTGTTGTACATTCTCAGCTCATATAGGAGAGGAAAGAGGAGGGCATCATATGAGAAGGGACAAGGACAGGGATGAGTATAGTGTGTGTTTGGAAGTTACCAATGGGAGCTATAGGGAAGGAAAGGTGAGGGAGTGAGGAGCCAATCTTATATGTCTTGAAGGTTTATGTTGAATAATATTTTAGGTTGATTTGAGTGGTAAAGGGTTCATCTGTGTCACAGAGTTTCCTCATTCCATCTTGAATTCAGGAAAGACTTTTGGTTTCCAAAGAGATGTACTGAAATAATAAGAATTTTTTTCTGCTTTCTTTTTTTTTCACTGATAATCCTGAAATTTAAGAGTATGACATGAAATGTCAAACATCTCTAAGAATAGAATATAGAGAAGGGCAACAAAATACCAACATTAAAGGATGGATATCAAAAATTTTAAATTAGTTCATAAATATATAACAATAAAGCATTCAACGATGAAATGTAATTTTAACAAAGACATAGTAAAGTGTGCAAATTTAAACAAGAGGATATAATTTTTTCCACCCTTTAGTTTGGCAGTAAATGAAAAAAAAAATGAGCATAACATCCAGTGATGGCAAAGATTACTGGTTGCTCATTCTGATTCTTTGTTGGTGGGATTACATATTCCTTCACACTCTGGAAGAGTGATCTGACAATAATTAAGGTGAAAAAAATACACGATTTTCATCTCAGTAACTCATATATAGCATATTATAAAGGCATAAAAAATAGAAATAATCTGAAGTCCATTATGAAAATATGTAAATAAATCATGGAATTTTTTATGCTTAGGAATCTTATGACATTCTTAAAAATGTACGTATTATGTATACACACACTATATATATACATCATATATAGTGTATATATATATATATATATATATATATACACACACACGCATATATACATGTTTTGATTGAAAAGTTGTTCAAATATACTGTTAAAAAGAGAGTTTTGAATTAGTATGTTTATGATGTTATTATTCATAAACAAAAATACAGTAAAAACCTATAATTGCTCATATAAGTTGCATGGCAGCAGAGAAAGATGTGGAAGAAACCATTCCAAACTTTTACTGCTAATTAGCTCAGTGGAGGGATTTGAAAGGAGGTTATAATGTTTGCATTCTCCTTATATATCTCTACTGTTCATTATAACAATCAAGCATTCTCTTATAAATTAAAAAAATAAAGCAATAAAGCTTCCACCCCTGAAAGAAAACAGAAGTTAAAAGAAAGCATCCAAAGAGTAATTTGTAATGCAAATCTTCTCTAAGTATTATTTGTAAAAAAATGACAATAAGTAAAATTTGTAGTTTTAGGGAAAGTATTCTGGGTCCACATCACCCTATGGATTTATAATTATATGTTGCTTTTCTGGTTATTCATCTTATATTTTTGGTCTACAGGATTTCCATCTTTTCATATTCTTAAAATATCATGGTATCATTCTTTAATAATTTACTATGGACTTTTAAGTGCATTGCAGATGGCTCTAAGACATGGAAAAACACTTATGAAAACTCATGAAATTTTCTACATTTTGAGTTTATTAATTTCAGTGATGGTCTTACCTACACATATGTTTTCAGTTCTCTTTAATTGAATGACTCACAAATGTATATCTCTAGTCTGGTCTGAACTATGAGTTTCTAACTTGCATATCTAATGGTGTCACCAACATTTCTACTTAGAAATCATAAAAACATCTCAAAATCTTATAGCAAATTCTGATCTTGTAATCTATCCCTCCACGCCCAGCCTTTTTTCAGTGAATGGCATTACATCCATCCAGATGGATCAGACTTAGACTTGAGGGTCATTATAGAAATTGTTCTATCTCATACCCATTACTTACATCCAATTGTATCAATCAATCCCCTAATTGTGTTCATTGTTCATCTTCTGAATATCTTCTGAATGTTTCCATTTTTATTACTTCTACTACTGTACCCTGGCTCTAAGCTACTATAATGATTCACCGGATTTCTTATAATAGAGTGATAATCCACTTTTAATATGTTCATATTTACCTTATTATCCATCCTTAAAATAATATTTTATGCCTTTTAAAAACTTCACAGCTGATCATATACACTATTGCCTAATCCTCACTTCTGTCCCAATGTCTTGCTTTGGAAATGAAGACAAAATTCCTCCACCCTGAAGCTTTAGCTATCCTCCTTACTATCTGGAATCCATCCATAAGGACTTTTTAATTCCTCTGGAGGCCTGTGTGTCTATCAGACTCCAGGTTTCCTTCTTTTTTGGGATTATGCCCCACAGTTATTTTCTTAAGGAAGTTTTTCCTTTTTTTCTGAACCATATAAGCACCACTTTATGTTTTTCACACAGATAATAATTACACATTTGCTGATTGTCCAGCAAATGGAGTAGAGGCCTCCTCAGGGAAGGGCACCTGTCTGTTTTGCTCACTATTGAGTCTAGTCCTGATTGAGAGTCTGATTATGGTATGATGGATGGATTTCCATAGACAGGTTCTAAACTTAACTGAGAATATGCTCAACTTTTATTGTCAGTGGATGGTCTTACCTACACATTTCACCATTTTACAGAGGTTATTGATTGCTACCATTCTGATTCTAGAATATACAAGTGTCAAGCTCCTCATCATCTAGCAAAGTTTATATAAAGTACATGTTACAAAACATTTTAGAATTTAGCAGCCTAATTTGCTATTGCAACCTTTCATTCATGGTCTAGGAGTTAAAAGTTTTTAATATAATTGAAATAAGAATTATCTCTTTGATAAAAGACATGACACTATGCAAAGACAAACCCCAAGTACATTCTACATAAGACTCTTGACTAATAAAGATGAGAGTACCCAGTCTGCACAAATAAGATTAAATATGGCAGTGTATGGCAATAATTGTTTTGCAAGCATTGTTACATATTTTCACCAGCAACTTTTATATGATCAGGTAAATTGTCAAGTTAAAAATCAGTGAACTACATCGAAGTCATTTGATTAGTTTTTAATGAACATGAAATTGAGTTATAAAGTAGTTTACAAATCAATTTTGCAAGCTTATTACAATACATTGAAGGTCAGTGCCTAGTTTTATTCATTCTTCATCAGTTACATTACCCTCCTCCTTTAAAAATAGTTCACTGGCTTTCTTAAAGTAATGACCACACAAGGCTTTTAGTTTGCTCTTATAGTGCAGGCATATCCAAGGTGGTACAGATGGTCTTTTCTGCATCACTAGGTTAATATGATCATGTTATATTGCATTACAGATTTAGTTGTCTAACAGTAGTTCATCCGGAAAGAATGCACATTGAGAAATTTGCATAGTGCTAACACTTTCAGGCATGAAATATAAAACGTAGATAAGTGTACTATTCTTATGAATCTTAACAATGAAAAAAAATTACTGTAACTATTCAGATTTTATTATATTTATTTTCATACTTGAGTAATTAAAGTAGATAATATTTAGCCTCTCATAAAATGCCCAATAAATGTGAAATTAAAAAAAAACCATAATAAGGCTTTCAGAGATTTACACATTCCCAGAAAAATAAAAAGTTCTGAGAAACTACTTATATGATGAAAATTTTGTTTGAACACATTATTTTTAGTGAAGAAGGTGTATATTTGCTAACACATAGGATATTAAAAACAATATCTTTTGGGGGGAAGAACAAATAATTCTGTAAAAGTCGACATCTATTTTTAATCATTGAAATTCCTCATGATATAACTTAACTGTTAGTTCTCAATCATGTCCTTGCTTCAATTTCTCATTATTTCTACAAAATTTTAGAGTTTTGCTTATCTAATTATTTTTCTATGTAAATCCATTAAAATATAAATTAAAATGATTTAATTCTTGCTTAATTAATTTACTTAATTGAATTATGGCCTGCAAAGTGGAGATAATCTTAAATGCAATTAGTCATGCCAACCAGAGACTAGCTGGGCCAGGAAGGAGTGTCCATGAGTGTGGAGTGAAGTGGATTTGGGGATGCTGTAAAGTCCATAAACAGAGGTCTTGCCCCTCATGGAGGATTCGTGGTGGTGGGAGAGTATCTAAGATTTAATCCCTGCAAATAGTACAAAAGATTTAACGGGGAGTATTCTCAGGAGATGTATCTCTAAGGAAGGCAGGATTGGAAGCAGAAGTTAAACTGAAGCTTTAGCCAAGCCTCCTGGGAGCTGTGGAGCTGGGAGAACACTTT